TATATTTACAGCCACTCTCTTTTGCTTGCACTGCTGCCTGAACTCTGCCTTCTGCCAGATCAGCCACAACATTAGATTCTTACAGGAGCACCAACCCTGTTGTGAATCGTGCAGGCAAGAGATAGAGGCTGCATTCTCCTTATGAGAATCTAAAGTCTGATGATCTGAGGTAGAACTGAAGCAGTGATGCTAGTGCTGGGGAGTGGCCGTAAATACAGATTAACATCAGCAACGAGATTTGACTCCATAAGACTATAATAAATCAATTGCTTGGAGACTTATAACAAAACCCTATCGGTGAGCAGAAAATGAGTTGATGTATTTCAATTGTACAGCTGCATCTAGTGGCAGGCTTCAAGTCAGAATCTGACAGTTATTCTAGTCTGTGTGTGATCTGCCCGTGATTTTATTTACCACTCCTGTCATGCCTCTTTTTTTAAAATGGTGAGTTGTATGATTATTTCATTATATATTACAATGTAATAATAATAGAAATAAAATGCATAATAAGGGTTATGAGCTTGAATCATTCCGAAGCCATCTCCCCTTTCCCCAGTCTGTGGAAAAATGGTCTTTCATGAAACCAGTCCCTGATGCCAAAAAGGTTGGGACTGCTTTAAAGCAAAACTATCTGGATTAGAATATCAGCTCCACTTGGAAAAAATTACCTCATTTATCTTTCTTGAATGCTGGTAATAATAACACCATGTAGTCCATAAGTACATATTAAATGAGTAAATACCTAGAAACAAATAGAAGATTGATATATAGTATATATACTGTAGAACTGTTGATTGCAGTTATTATCAAATTTACTACTGTTTGTATCACCACAATAATTTTTATAATATCTTGTACATAATGGGTGAGAATTGTTAAAATTAATGAAATAAACTTTACCTTTTCCACATATTTACTTCATTGTTCAGTACATTAATAATATTATGAATGAACATAGCAAAAAAAGCTGTGCCATAATCCTGACCATGCCTCTCTCCCAGACTCTAGAGAATAGCTAAAAGACTGTAAATCACTCCTAATAATAGCACATATGTTGAAGAATATAGCAAAATATTAGACAGCTGATGAGCAAGCACTTTTTAAGGACTGAATGATTTATGTTTTCCTGACATGGCATGTTATATCTGGACCAAGCGTAAGTGATCTAATTTTCCCTGAAGTATTTCTCTTAGGGGGGAAAACTTGTCATATTTTTGGACTTTGAATATTCACCAGTTTTTCTAGACTACAGAACCTCAAATCCAGAAGCTTCCTGGTGTGTGTGTGTGTGTGTGTGTGTGTGTGTGTGTGTGTGTGTGTGTGTGTGCATGTGTACAGATGTGAGACTGTCTGAAGGAAACTTGTCATGCAGGTCTAGAATCACTATCAATGCCTGTAATTTTGCCACACATCGATGTTCTTAGTTGTGGATGTTTGTAGCTTGCCTGTGCCCAGAATTTGCTCTTGAGAATAATCTAGACTTAAGTTAACAATACATTTGGACACATAAATTTAATGCTGTCTCTAGAGTTCCCATGGTTCCCAAGAGTCATTCTGTGGTTCTCTGGATTGGAATGTTGTGGCTTAGTCCTTCTTTGGTCCCAGTGTCATCCAATAGAGAAGTTCTTTATCAGATTATGAGCCTTAATCCCCATCATGGGCCACTTTGAGAATCTCGTGGAACTATGAATTATGTACCTGGTAAACTTGTTTACTCTTATTCACACTAAATTTGCCTTAGAGTTTCAAGGTTTAAAAGATCAATCACTGAAGCATCCTCACAAACTCTTCTCAAGTTAACAGATCCAGTTGCATTCAATTGGTTTTATTGTGCCAGAATCAAAGTACTAAATATGGCATAAGTGTCAAATACAAGGAGAGAAGAGAAAGAAGCGAAATCTGTGGAAGTCACATTCTTCTCTTGACTGAAGGCAGGCAATGACTGATGAGAGTTTGAAGTAGCCTATTTGGTTGCAGCAAGACCTATGAAAAATAATAAGAGTTAAGGAATTTAGTTCATAGCCTTTTAAAAGTTCTCATAATATGTAGACTTTCATTTAGCAACCATAAATATTTCTTATGTCTGTATCCAAGGAGGTTAACAAATTAAGTATTTAAAATTGGCACACGGTACACCAAAAATAATAGAGATCACTTAATATTCACAGAAAGGAATGCCATTTACATGTTTCTTTATAAGTGGTATTATACAGTGGTTTTAATTTAGAAATCTAGATTCATGAGTCTTAAACAAAACTATTGAAATAATGAGTAGGCAAAAGACATGAATAGATATTTCTCAGAAGAAGACATATGAACAGCCAACAGATACATTAAAAAGTACTCAGCCTCACTAGTCATCAAAGAAATGCAAATCAAAACCACACTGAGATACCTCCTAACTCCAGTCAGGATGGGCTATCATCAATAACTCAAAAAACAACAGATGCTGGAGAGAATGCGGGGAAAAGGGAACACTTCTACACTGTTGGTGGGAGTGTAAACTAGTCCAACCTCCATGGAAAATAGTGTGGCAATTCCTAAAAGATCTAAAAATCAACCTTTCCTACAACCCCGCAATTCCCCTTCTGGGAATATACCTGAAGGAACGCAAATCATTCTACAAAAAAGATAACTGCACACGCATATTTATTGCAGCACTATTCACAAAAGCAAAAACATAGAAACAACAGTGCTGCACATCAAAGGTGGACTGGATAAAAAATGTGGTACATATACATGATGGAATATTACACAGCCATAAAGAAGGACAAAATTATGGACTTTACAGCAACTTGAATGGATTTGGATTCTGTCATACTCAGTGATCTATCACAGAAACAAAGAACAGAGTACCACATGTTCTCACTCATAAGTGGACCCTGAACATTTATCATAATAATATAAGAAAGGAATTAGCAGTAGTGGGACACTACCAGGGGAGGGAGGGAGGGGGGCATATAACATCAATAAGCGTACCTGATCTCAAACCAGGTGAAATGGGGACCAAAGGGAGGCCAAAACTTCACCTATATGATGACCACTTACATACCTAATCCTGAATTGTACTCCACATCTTTAAAATAATGATAAAAAGCCAAAACCAAAACAAAATTATGTAATAACATATTTTGGATCAGTAAAACCTATAACTACATATTAAATAACTTGCTTTTATGTGGTCTATATTCATTTTCTCACTTTGTTTTTAAAATTTAATAAGCCAAATATTTATCCAGCTTATTATCCTTTTCCTAATAGATGTCCTATTAAATAACAACTAAATAACACAATTTGCATGTATGCAAGCCAAGGAAATCATGGTGCATTTTGTTTGTTTTTTTAGTCAGCTCATATAAAAATAGATATTATACTAATTAAGCCCCTCTCTCTGAAATCAAACAGATTTGGTTTGGCTCCCGTTGTATACTTTCTAGCTGTGATAATTTACTTACAATCCTGACACATTTTCTGGTTTTCATTCCTAAATTCAAGATAGTAATAAAATCTGTTCCATATAGTTGTTAGAGGAATCAACTGACATAATTATGTATAGTTGTTATCATTAAGTGGAGACTTGGGGTATTAAAAATAAATAATGCTTATTAATTTCACTTTACCTTTTCCAATAAGTTACATTTCGTAGATTGGTCGGTTTTCAAAATCCTTTCACATTTGCATTCCCACTTGAGCCTCATAGTTACCAAAATTATGAGTTAATAAACATTCGGAGAGTAATGACCTGCCTATGGTCATATGGCAAGAAGTTGGAAGAAGCAGCCTCTGGTCTAATGCTAGTCCCATCATGTCACATGCCATTGTGTGGTATTTTAGATCATAAGACATGCAGACAATCTGATGGACTGAACATATTTGTTGCAAAGAAACTCAAAATTTTGTAACTTTCTCCCCAAATTATTTTATACTGTTGGTTTTTATTAATCTTTCTCTTTCTTTTTTTTTTTTGAGTTGGAGTCTCACTCTGTCGCCCAGACTGGAGTGCAGTGGCCTCTCCCGGCCACCGCAACCTCGACCTACTGGGCTCCGACGATCCTTCCACCTCAGCTTTCCAAGTAGCCGGAATTACAGGCACGCGCTACCACGCCCGGCTGATTTTTGAAGTATTGTAGAGATGAGGTCTCGCTGCCCAGGCGGGTCTCGAACCCGCGGGCTCAGGCAATCCACTCACCTCAGCCTCCCAAAGGCGCGGGATTACAGGCTGAGCCACCGAGCCTGGCTAATCTTTCTCTTTCTTTAACTCCTTCTCATGGGTTTTAAATTATTTTAGACTCTGTTATCCATTGAGTCAAGTAGTAAATAGTAACACTTTACATCTAATGTTATGAAAGGACTCTTTTAGTGCTTATGTGTTTTTAGAGTTAAATATTATAATTCTTCCATGGGTTTGTTTTAGAATAAGAAAAATTTGAGATGCCGTTTCATCGATTCTATCAGAAATGATGTCTAAAATAAATGCACAGGAAATTTATCATTCCCGTTCACTCTGTTCATACCAAAATGAGAGGACAAGAGCATTGTTACAGGATTCAGGGTTACTTAAATGCAAATTCTATGTAATTTGTTGTTAGAAAATTTAGGTAAGAAAAATCATAAAAGTGTTACTTAGCATTTTACTCTACTGTCATAGTTTGTGTGTGAATAGGAATGAAGCAAAATGAATAGATTGCAGGAGTGTTCCAATTATCAGAAGAAATTTTTAATAACAAAATCCCCAATTGTCTTCCTTTTGTGAAATTAGATTATTTTAAATTTCTTTTGTTGAAACAGAATCTAGTGTGGCAATGCTAGATTTTGGTTTTACCCAATTAAAATGATAAGCATCTTATTTTGATTGCTCTCACAACATACTAAATTTATCCATTTGTACTCTTTTAGAATTTATGAGTGTATTGCTAAATCCTTGCTTCTTGTCTTGATCATTCATTTTATCTTTTTGCTCATTTACCTGTGTTGTCTTCTTTGATGCTTCCTTAGTGTTTTTATGCCACAGTTGAAGAGACTGGGACTGTGGTGGCCTCAGGGGTGCTTGTGATGATGAACTCTGAGGAAGCTTTGGGAGGGACCTCATTGTTCACCACTGGTTCAGTGGCAGAAATTGGTGTAGGTTCAACAGTAGCAATGGTGTTGATGGTAGGGAGAGCAGTTTGAACTGGAGTTTTCTTTGGGGGAAAGGCAATAAATGCTGGATGTTGGTATGGGGGATGCATCGCGGTGGGTGGGTGGATATTTGATAGAACTTGCCACTGAGGAATTTGGGGATGCACTGAGGAATGTGGCCTAAATATAGCTGGTTTTACATAATATTGGTAAGGCATATATGGATCATGAATTGATGCAGCTGGCCTAGGTTGGTAGAAATAGGGTGCATAGTGAGGATAGCTATTCAGCACATAATGAATTGGGAAATTTGGAGTTGGTTTCTGATTGAACAATCTTTCATCATTCCCGTAGCACTGCAAAAAAAGAATAAATTATGCAGAGGGGTATTATTATACACCGAAATTTAGAGATATCTTAAGTTGGCATTTTTTTTGAACTTACATAGTATTTGACATTGAATAAGTACGATGTTGGAAGTAGGGAACCCAGCAACCATATTATTTTACAATAATATTTATTATTTTCAATAATATAAAAATAGTATGTCTTTCAAACAAGTTAGATGAAGTAATACATAATGTAAACCACATTGCCCAGAGCTTGGCATATACAGAAAGCACCTGCATGTTGTATATTATGACTATAATACCTAGAAAAATCTCATAGAGAACTTTGACATGTTATACACAAGCACATCATACAGACACACACAACTGGCATATACACGCATATGTATTCTCACCACATATTTGTTATTGTTCACAAACTTTATTCATATAGAGATTAGTCCGAGGGCATATTTGTTTTTCTCTGATCTAATTATAGCAGAATGGTAAAATAATGTGATGTGGAGGGATTTCTGGGTTCAGACTTTGGATTTTTTTCATTTTAATTTTCTCCACAAAAGATCAAATAGAAAATTAAAAAAAATTTTATTTGCCTCTGTTTTACCAATTATATTCAGTCAAAAAAATGTGTCAGTAGACCTTTCCATATGAATAAAAATAAATCAACCTAATTGCGCTTCAAAGCAAACATTTCTCATAAGAGAAGATATATTTATATGTATTCACTTAAACATATTTGGGAAGCAAAACGAGTAAGTAACAAGTGTATGATGTTTGAATAACAAGTATTCTAACTTGGATCAGAGAGGAATCTTTTCCAAAATCTTAAAGATTAGATGTTAATCTTAAAGGTTAGATATTAAGTTTTACATTTTTTCCCAGTATGAAATCCTAAGAGAGTTTTCTCATATTGTTAAATATACATGAGAACTGAAGACATGACTTGGGCTACACAATGAAACCAAGACTTTCAGATGAATATCGACATTGATTCATATCATCTGTTGCTGAAGTGCTTTTTTTGGGCAAAAATTATGAGATTATTTTATGGAGATTAAATATTTAGCTTTTAGACAAGGCACTGTAATATAATTGACCTTTCCAGAATATTATCTTTTGGAGTTCACATCTATAACAGAAAAAATTAAAATAAACTTACTGCTGGTTGTTCCTGGTTTTGTACCTCTGCAGCCTAGGGAGTTCCAGAAAAAGAAATAATGAAAAATAAGAAGTAATAAAAAGCAAAGCAGACTTTTTTTTGTTGTTGTTAAAAAAGTCTTTTGTGTTCTAGACGAACATGCTTCCTTTGTTTTTATTTTAATACTATATTTTACATGATTAATCATGCTGAGACCTGTGATCAAAAGTAATCCACTGGTTAAAATAGTAATAATGAACTTCATGTCTACATTGTCTGTAAATATAACCACCTAAAAAGAAAAATTCACTGTTGAAAATAATCTGATTATCTCTCTCCTGAGTGAAGAAATACACATATTTGTCTAAATGAAAAGTATGAATAACCTATATTTAGTTTGTACTAAATATGTTTGTATAAAAAGTATCCTGCTCTTTTTCAAGAAACATATTTCATATCATTTTTCTATTTATCTCAGTTTTCATATCACAGTTTTATAGTTCAAAAATATATGATCAACGATTATGTCATGAAATGTTTCATTCTTTATAAAATTTTAATTATAAATATATAAATAACATCTATATACCAGTGGCTTTTAAAATAGTTTTCACTGATTTCTTTTTTTTTTTTTGAGTTGGAGTCTCACTCTGTCACCCAGACAGGAGTGCAGTGGCCGCTCCCGGCCACCGCAGCCTCGATCTGCTGGGGCTCCGGCAATCCTTCTGCCTCAGCCTTCCAAGTAGCTGGAACTACAGGCGCGTGCTACCATGCCTGGCTAATTTTTTGATTTTATTGTAGAGATGTGGTCTCCCCAAGTTGCCCAGGCGGGTCTCGAACCAGCGGGCTCAGGCAATCCACTCACCTCAGCCTCCCAAAGGCACGGGATTACAGGCTGAGCCACTGAGCCCGGCTTCACTGATTTCTTAAGATAGTTTTTCAAGAATGTGATCTTTTGGCGCCCAAAAATTCTTTGATAAGGATGATCGCATTGTTGTACAGAAAAGCTGTGCCAATTTATAATGCCATCAATAGGTTATGAGTTTGTGTACTTTATCACATAATTGCTAATAATAAATATTACCTTAACTATTTCTATTTTGAGAAGAAGGAAGGGGTAAATTAATACATAAAAGTTGGTATTACATTGTTGTTTTAATTTATATAATTTTGACTACTATAAGATTGAATAGTGAAATCAATAAACTTTAATTTTTCTTTTGTATTATTTGTTCATGTTCCTGGGGCTTGATGCTTTTGTAAAAACAGGTAGGACTGTTTAGGAGATAGAGCAGGTTCAAGTAGTCCAAGAAGAGGTTGCTGGAGAGCAGGCAGTTGTAGACTGTTCGATGTTTTAAACTTTGACTCCTATTATTCAAAGAGAAAACCCAAGCTCCAAATGTGCAGGTGGACACAATAAAATGTAATTTTCAAAAGACAAGACAGAAAATAAATGTAAAAGTCATAGTAATTCATATTTTTAAAAAGTGGTTTTTGACTTTAAGAATTTACCTAATAATATTATTGAATAAATATTTACTTAAAAGCAAGTCTAAATTTAATAATAAATGAATCATGAAATGAGGACTAGTTTCCACCAAGATTTTGCCTTCTAGAAGGAGGACATGTACCACTATCTATGCTTGCCTCCTTTTTTTTGTTGTTGGCAAATACAGTGCCTGAACTCCCCAGATGAATATGGAAAGACACAGCAATAGCCAAATCAACAATAAAAACAAGTAAAATAAAACCCTAAACCAGAACCTTTTTCTTGGCCCAATAGCTTCAAAGCACAGCATGTAATTCAAGATAATGCCTGCAAGCTATAGAGGGACATGGGTCCCAGGAAGGGAGTCAGTCAGTCAGTTTACTTTTGGGAGAAGAGCATAATAAAAGATAATCTGAATGTTAAAGGCAGAAGTGTCAAGGTCTTTGAAACTGGTGGAAAACCTTAACCAGGCTCTTGACCTTTTTAGAATATAGTCTCTAAAAAAAATTAAGAGTCTGAGTGTGATAGAAATTTAATTGAAATAATTTCTGATTCTAGAGTATAATTTCTGTATTATTCTTTATAAATTATCCTTAGATAATTTACAATTTCAAAATGTTTTTAGTATTGTTCTTTTCTCCCAAAACATATTTTCTGTATAGTAAGAAAATTTTAAATCAACCTTTAAAATAACATAGTAAAGTGTTATTTCTTAATTCAGAGGAACTAAATTGAACAGGACATGACTTAACTTTTATAATAGAAATAAATATAAACATAACTTTACTTCATATGAAAACAAAAAAGAGCACAAATAGCCAAAATTCCGCAGCAAAAAGAACAAAGAGGCAGGTATCACACTTCCAGACTTTAAACTTTACTATTAGGCTACAGTAATCAAAACAGCCTGGTACTGCTACATGAACAGACATATAGACCAATGGAATAGGACAGAGATTCTGGAAGCAATCAACTCATCTTTCACAAAGACATCAATAACAACCAGTGGAGAGGGGAAACCTTATTTAGCAAATGGTGCTGGGGAACTGGCTGACCACATTCAGAAGAATGAAACAGGACTCCTACCTATCACCATATACAAAAATCAACTCCAAATGTAGTAAAACCTAAATGCAAAACCTCAAACTATAAGAATTTTAGAAGAAAATGCAGGAGACACCGTTATGCACATTGGAATAGGAAACCAATTCTGGATCAAATCCCCGAAAGCATATGCCACAAAAGATAAGATAGACAAATGGGACCTCATCAAACTGAAAAGCTTTTGCACAGCCAAAGAAACCATCAAGAGAATGGGAAGACAAACCACAGAATGGGTAATCATGTTTACTAATTGTGTATCTGACAAAGGCCTTACATCCAGGATTTACAAGGGACTCAAATAAGCCAAAAGAAAACAAACAAACAACAACAACAACAACAAAAACCAAAAACAATAAAACAGCCCTAAATGGGCAGAAGACATGAACAGACACTTCTCAAAAGAAGACATATGAGCAACCTACAGATACGTGAAAAAATGCTTAGCTTCACTAATCATCAGAGAAATGCAAATCAAAACCACACTGTGATGCCACCTTAACTGAGATGCCATCATTAATAAATCAAAAAACAATAGATGATGGCACTGGTGTGGTGAAAAGGGGATACTTCTACACTGTTGTGAAAAGGGAATACTTCTACACTGTTGGTGGGAATGCAAACTAGTCCAGACTCTATGGAAAATAGTGTTGTGATATCTAAAGGAACTAGAAATTGGCTTTCCATAGGATCCAGCAATTCCTCTCCTGGGAATATGCTAGAGGAACACAAATCATTCTACAAAAAAGACACCTGCGCATGCACATTTATTGCCTCACTATTCACAATAGCAAAAACATGGAACCAACCCCACTGCCCATTGAAAGTAGACTGGATAAAGAAAATGTAGTACATGTACACAATGGAATATTATGCAGCCATAAAGAAGGACAAAATTATGGAATTTCTCAGCAAATTGAATGGAACTGGAGATAATCATTCTTAGCAATCTATCACAGAAACAACCGAATACTACATGTTCTCACTCATAAATGAGATCTGAACATTAACCACTATTGCACAGTGGAGAGATTGGCAGTCACTGGACATTGCCAGGGAGGGAGGAATAAGGGGAAAGTAACAATACAAAGGATACCTGATCTTAAACCAGGGAAAGTAAGGACCAGTTGGAGGTCAAAGCTTCATCTTCATGTACATTACTTATGTACCTAATCCTGATTTATACCCCACATTTTTATAATAAAATAAAGTAAAAAAATAAATAAAGCATGCACAAAAAAGTAAACATAGCAAGTACAGCTATTTTCTTCTATGAAATATAATTGTATTTAGAAATTTGCATAATTAGAGTCCTTAAATACAATTTTCTTGAAGTCTTAATACCAATTAGATGCAGTCAACTCACCAAAAAAGGCAGGGTTAATGCCAGGACATTCACAGCTAAAAGAAAACTCTTCATGATTGCACCTAAAAATAAATTATTAAAAAAATTAAGAAGATTTGTTACTAACAATTTAGAAATGACTTGAATACAATGTTTGCTCTGGCTTAGAAAAAAGAAACTATATTTACAGGTAGATTCAATCAATGTGTAATATCTATTTTAACAAAAAAATTAGAAAAGCCAAACTTGAAGTAAATAATTTTTGAATTTTTGACAATATTAATGGAATTATCATTGTTATGGTCAATGTTGAGATTATTGAGGTGAATCTGATATAGACCTTGCTATCACAAAGCATCAATTTTAGGAAGAGAGTTGCAGCATACACACATCACTGTGAGAAGAAAGAAAGTGACAAATGCCACAAAAGTTGCTTTCTATAAATAGAAAGTTTTAGTTAAGAGAATCAGTAAAGTCTTTGTGTAGAAGATGATATATGGGTGGGATCTGTCTATGCAGAGTTTGGTAGGGAGAGACACATTTCAAGTAAAGGAGAAAGGATTGAGAATATCCATGGACATTTTCATCTGAATGTTATATGAGAAGGGAAAAATAAAGTTGGAAGGAAAGTTTAAAGCAGAAAAAGCAGGCACCTTAAAATGCCAGGTTAAAGAGTTGGGCATGGCATTGTAAACAATAAAAAACAATTGAATGTTTTTGGACTAGAAATGAATGTGACTATACATGCCTTGGAGGACTGAGTTCTAGCTCAGACCTTATCACTGCCTGTGTAACTTTGGTCAACTAATTTCTCTTTCCTGGGTCTTACATTTCTTACCTGTGAAATGAGGGTTTGAACTGAGAAGTCCCTAAAATTTGGTGATTTTTGATTACTCATAATTCTATGAAACATGTAGGATGGAATGTGAAGTGGAGGGTTATGAAACTGATTCTTCATAACCTACTTCTCCAGTAATTATAACTGATATGAATAACTTGATTGTTTTAATAAGAAGTATAGATATGACAATTACAGTAACTTTTTGGGTTTTTTGATTTGTAGTCTCACTCTGTCACCCAGTCTGGTGTGTGGTGGCACAATCATAGCTCACTGCAGCCTGAACCTTCTGGGCTCAGGAGATCCTTGTTTCAGGCTTCCATGTTGTTGAAACCACAGGCACATGCCACCATGTGCACCTAATTTTTTGATTTTTTTTTTTTTTTGTGTAGAGATGAGGTCTCACTATGTTGCCCAGGCTGATCTCAAACTCCTAGGCTCAAACAGTCCTTCCACCTCAGCCTCCCAAAGTGTTGGGATTACAGGCACAAGCCACTGTACTTGATCAGACAATTACAGTAGCTTTGACTGAAATATTTAATAAAATAAGTTAGCGTTATTTTTCTAAGAATATACACTGTCATGCCTGCTTATTCAATTTTAATAAATTATCTTTTTAGACAATAATCATATAACACTTCAACCTTTTTATATTTAAGTACATATTGAATTTGTGAAGTAAATATTAATTATATCTTGTTGCAGCTATTGTTATTTCTGCACTTACATACTGTAAATTGAGCTTTCCAAGAGAGTCACAGAATTAAAACCTCAAGTAGGGAAAGGGAAGCACATCTGACTCTAATTTGCCTCTGATCTCATGTAATAATGATTAAAATGCTGTCATTAAACTGACTTCAGAACTGCCATAAGATATCATTGAATGGAAAAGAGCTCATGTGAAATCAAATTTGAACAACTTATATAAACTCATGTTTCCTTAAGTGGGATGGAGTTCCTTATTCTTTACTTACTAGTTATAATTTAAGATTGACTGTAAATCTTTCTATGGTGAATCACAGACTTCTTTTCAATTCACACACACAAAAAATATAACACATACACATTCTATACAATGATAATAATTTTTCTTTTTTGTAAGCATAAACAAAAATCACAGAGGTAAGACCATACTTTAGATATTAACTACTTAAATCAATAAGTACTTCTACTTGCTAAGAAAAAAATAATTTTAAAAATAGAATTATTTAATTCTCATGGATGTTTAAAAAGCATAATTTAAAACAATAATCATACTATAGTAAATACAATGATAACTTTTAGGTAGAAATAAAATTTGAAAGTAATTAAGGGATCAATCTGGATTATTCTATGAATCCAACTTCCTGAGAAGTTGAAGTTAACTCTTCGCATTTGTCTGTAGGAAAAAGTTCATGGTCTTAAACACCTTCTTATTTAGAATTCACAATGTCTTCTATAAATTAGCCAGTATCAAAACTGACTTTAACTCAAAGAGAGCTTAAAATAAATTTTATCTTAATACTATTCAGAATCTAAAGTTTAGGTTATATATGAATATTAATGTGATGCTAGGACATACTCAAGTTTAACAATAATGACTAAAGGAAAAAAATGTAGTTCTGAAATAACTTTGATGAAGCCCCAGTTAGCAACTGTGAAAAGGATAACTCTCTGGGTGGTTCAGTAACAGTAACTTTCCTTACCTGTTGGGTCTTGCTTGGCAGCAGGTTGAGTTGTCTTGACAGCTGTAGAGAAGACCCAACATAAATAACCAAAGACTAATTAAAGGTACCTTGAGTACCTTGAGTCACGCTATTCTAATTCCCTCCTACTTTTTACCCAATAAGGTGATGACAAAGAGGAAAGATTCCATGACAGCAGCATCATCGTTGGGTCAATTTCAGTTAATGAAATGCAGAGGGGTAAACAGTGTTTTCATTCATAACACTTGAAAAAAACTGTTCATGATTTTTTAAAGAATGAATCTTTTTATGTTTTATAAAGAAGCATAGAAGAATTTTAAAAATATTAATTACATTCTTAATCAACTAAGCCCACCGATTTGAACTTAAAACTTTGTTAAAATAAAAAATAGGTCTGGGGGAAGTTAAGGCTCAGAAATTACCTAAGGGTTACAATGTTCACTATCTGGGGTATGGTCCACCTGAGACCCAATCCCCACCATTACAAAATCAGTCCATGTAACAAACACGCATGTGTACTCCTTGAATCTAAAATTTAAAAAATAAAATTAAAAATTAACAATAGTAAGCTACCATACTTTCACATTTTAAGTGTTTGTTTTTAGTTTAAATGCCTGGATTTCAAGCAATCCTGCATCTACTATGGGCTGTGGTCAGTCGTTTTCCTTACAGAATTATAACTACTGTTTTTTTATATTAAAGAAACTGACTATCTCTTACATATGCAAGAGTATCTTTTTACAAGTTAAATCTGTATATGAAACATTTTAATCAATACAAACCAAAGATCATTTGGGCTGTAGCATATAGCTTTCAGTGTGCATTAAATACATGCATATTGATTGATTAACCTTTTGTGAGTAAACTTTTTTAGATTTTTAAATTTCAATAATATAAGTGAGCCATTTTGGATGAACAATATTAAATTATTAAATTGGGGATAACTTGTCTCAAGGAAGCTTATTCTGACTTAGAGTATAAATCACAAAACCACTGACAAGGTAGATATTTTGGTAAACTATAGATAAACAAAATATTTGCTTAGATAATTCAGGAACAAACATTTTCTTTCACTTGCATTTCTCAGGAAATAATGTTTACTGCGACTTCATTTGTACTGTGAAGTCTGGACCAGACTGAGGTATTTACAGGAATTAACATAGGACTGCCAGAATACAAACAAGAAATAATGCCAGCATTGTAGTTGTGTCTACATTCTTGTATGTTTCTTAGAACTATTTCATTCCTTAGAAAGTTAGGGACAATGTTCTGAGTTCTAGAGTACTTATTTGAATTGTACAAAGCAAGTTGAAATTTCTTATTTCTCAGAATATGTGGTTTCTGTTGTTCAAGGAGAGTTGGAAGAATTTCAAAACGACTAAAACAAGCTGCCATTAATACCAGCCAGTCTGTATGAACTATTTAGTCACATTGTTTTCTTTTGGATGTCAGGGTCCATTATGGGAAGATGGACTTCAAATTCTGAAGGTATTCCCTTTCACACAGTAATTTCTCAGCCATTAACTTAGTATCATAGGAATAATACTGATTTTCAGCTAAGAATTATTTAATTCAAAAGTACCAGAGACTCATGTCACTTTAAAAACATTGTTTTAGCAGGAAGAACAACAGTGCTCTAAGAAGAACACCTGGAAATACTAGGAATCTCTTTCTCCCAGCCCAGAGAAAAACGTTTCTGGCAAGGTGCAGTGGTTCACGCCTGTAATCCAGCATTTTGGATGGTTGAGGTGAGAGGATTGCTTGAGCCCAGGGGTTCCAGATCAGCCTAGGCAACTTGACGAGACCTCGTTTCTACAGTAAATCAAGAAATTACCCGGGCGTAGTGGCGCATGCCTGTGGTTGCAACTACTTGGAAGGTTAAGGTGGAAGGGTTGCCTGAGCCCAGCAGGTTGAGGCTGCAGTGGCTCAGTGTGCCACTGCCCTCCAGCCTGGGTGGCAGAGTGAGACTTTGACTCAAATAACAAAAAAAGTCACACAACACAAACACACACACACACACACACACACACACACACACCCCAAAACATTTCTATGGTGACATCACTCACCAACTTCAAACACTAGTCTGGTTCTTGTGGGGCTTTTGCAAAACTGGACATTACTCTTAGAGAGAGTGTACTTTATTGTAACTACTGTTTCAGGTATAAGAGATACATTAGTAACCCAAGCAGGCAAACATTCTTGCACTTGTGGAGCTCGTAGTCTAATGTATATTTGACAAAAGAGAGTTTTAGAGAGCTAAAGAGTTTTGAGTGACTATACTAGATGAACTAGATAAACTCTATAGTGGCTCTACCAAATGCTCTAGTGTTTTCTGAAGTAAAGTAAAAGAAGAGTCAGAACTCTCATGTTCAGAAATCTCCTAGAAAGCTGGGATAGTGCTGAATAAAAGTCAAACTTAGAGTGTTTGTCATCTGAAACTAACTTGCCAGCCTTGATCTAGTCGCATATGTTCCCTGGATTATGGGAAGAGAAAGAGCAGGACCTCCCAGTCAAGCTACAGTTCCTTTTGTTTTGGTGCTGATATCAAT